TTGCCAACATCCAACAAAATAAACCTATAATTCATAATAATTCATCCAATCCATTCAATATAATATGTAATTTGCAAGTATCATTCAAATTAACTAAATCATGAACATTCAACAAAATACATAAATCATCCAATTCTGAACCTGTTTAATGAAAGTCATCAACTATTATAAGTTTTTCTCCATAAGTAATTTCAAACTACATATTCCTCCAATTATGCCATTCCACTTGCAACCTACATAATCATCTAAGTCACATCCATCAACCATAACAATTTAAAACATAACAAGTACTTGTTATTATGTTTTAAATTATTATCCATGCGCATCTATCAAAAAAATATACACACTAGTAGTGCACCCAAATATTTTCCATACACATCTATCCAAAAATATATAATCCTTCCAAAAATACTTATAGTGCCAAACAGTCTTGTACAATTTGGCTTCGTGCACGAGATCATCCATCTGTACCAAAGAAAATGAGAACTAATGTTTGGTAACTTTTTGTTGAAAATATTTTCACATCACTTTTATTGTAAAATTGGACAAAAAATGAAAAATGTACATGGAAAGTAAAGGAAACATTAACAAATTAAATGACTATCAATATCACTTTGTAAATAAAACATCATTGATATGTATATATCAATTCTAACTATTATTCCACAATTTGCCAATATTGACTTGTGCTTCAACAATGGAAACTAAGTTAAAATTGTCTTTGTAATTCTGAATTCAAAATGCTTTGGTTGAACTTTTACTTGGAGGAGGGTAAGTGTGAGAGGGAAGTGGAAGATACGAGGCTGGGATTGTCACAATTTTTGGTATAAATTTGTAACTGTTGTGATATGGGGGCTGATTTGAGGCTGTTTGGATTTTTATGTGGTCACATGACCTTTTTTCCTGATAAATTTATTCTTTGTAGCTTTTAGTCTGATCACATGACCTTTATCGTTTTTACTTATTTTCGTGGTACTAAAACTCAAGGTTGGTGTGGTTACCTCTTCCGAGAGGATCTCAGTTGCTGTCATAATCCCTTTCTGCTAAAGTTTGTTGGTACAAACAGATTATGTATCTAATAAATTTGTGGGCTTATAGGAAGGCTGCCTTGCACATTTTGGTGCATTTGCAAGTTGCAGCTATGATGGTTTAGTTTTGGTAGTGTAAACATAAAAACTATAACAATAAACCTTTGTTCTTCGTTGTGTTTGAAATTTTATTTGGCACTTCTCTTTTCCTTTTTTACTACTAATTCCAAGTTCCATACAAAGCCTTAGAATGGTGGTACGCAATTATCTCAACAATGTTGTTCCTTTTGTTGTGAATCCATTACCTTTTAGGAAGCATATATATATATGGGGCAACCAAGATTCCCAATAGGGTGCATTTTGGGGTTGAGTTAATCACAAGAATGGTCCCTTGCCTAGTTTGGATTTGGTGTGGCATTGAACACTGGGCATCTAAAAAAGATATGAAGCAATGGGGCTTGAGAAAGTAAGCCCTCAATGGTAAAGTGAAAGATAGGAATTGGAATTAGGAAATAGATCCAATCGCTTGGATCAAGCAGCTCCATTCACTAAATAATCCGTCGACCTTCTGTCACATGGAGCTGCTGGCACTAGTTTGTTTGAGTTGAAGGCTAATCATGCTCTCAAGAAACACAGATTCAACCATTGCTATTAGGCACCCAAAGAGAAACTTACATTGCTTGCTGTGTGTTTTTAGAGTTGCTTTTATTAATTTAAGAATGCAGGTTATCACTTAAATATCATAAACAAACACTCAAAACATAGAAGATCAACTTATTGTGTGTTTCATGGAACTTTTATGTTTTGTTCCCCCTTAGATGTTTGATGAGCCCATGAATAACAATGATGCATCTATTTGACTGTCAGTCTGCTGTTCACTGGTTTGTATGGGTTGCAAATATTATTACTTGGCTTTATGGATAATACTGTTAATATCTCAAGGTATGTGGGAGCAATTTATTTATTTTTTGATTTTTATACCAATGGAATTTTACTTACTAGTAATAATTTCAAATTAATACTTAATGTGAAGATATTGTTGTTAATAAATTTTTGATATAAAATATCTTGATATAGTATTTAATGTGTTTTGCATTAAGATACTTGAAAATAATTTAGAGGATTATTTGTCTCATCTCAAAGAGCATACCTAGATCACATTCTTACTAAATTTTAATATGTAAAATTGAAAATTTTACATTGCTTTTCTTAGTGGTCGAGACTAATGCCAAATTACATGGATATTATAATAGCTAGATAGCCTTTACAACAAAGTATCCAAGTTGATAATCAAAGTGATGTAAACCAAAATTAACAAGCATATCATGTTTTCCAATCTCAATTGGCATCCTCCAAACTGTCTAACTTTGGTTAAAGATTTCAAGCTAGATTCCATTAATATGATTATTTAAAAAAAAAATTGTGATAATAACTCTGCCACCGATAAAATGCTAGAATGCCAGAAAATTAAAATTAGGAATGCAGAACTAGGAGCTTGGTAACTTAGGCAAACAAATGTTCAAATTCAGCTATTTGTCCCAAAAAAGGGAAAGGGTGGGGGTGGTTTTTGAAAATGCCTACATCTGCTACAAGGCAAATCATCAAATAAATATTACAATAAAACCATGCACCACCATATTTATGTGTGTCAGCATGTGCCTCTCAGGGAAGTGCCATAATTCTGTGTGTTTTAAAGATTAAATTTATTTTTATGCTCAAGAGGTTGCAAAGAACGTTTACTACATAAGAAATTGATATATTAATCAACAAAGTGAATACTGCCAACTCTACTCAGACCACATTTTAGAATTTGTGTATTTGCAGTGTATCCTAGTTTACTGAATAGAGAAGCAACCTGTGTTCTAAGTTAGTTCTAGTTCAATATCTCTTCTCGTTGTACAATCAACTCATAGCTAAAATTGCATATCAAATACTTATAAAATTAGTAAAGGGAGATCAACAATATCAAAAAACCTGAATGTGGTCGAGACCAAGTAACTTTTGGTTACACTTCAGAGCTTTGTGGAGATATCTAAGAGCAATATGCACATTTCCCATGCCTTCCTCCATCATAGCCATATTGATATATGTTGCGGCAGTGTTCGGATGTGATGGGCCACATGTGAGATGTAACAGACAGAGTGCATGCTTTACATATCTAAAAATGACAAGAAAAATTTTCATTCAGTAGAAGCATAAAAAACATCGATGACAAACAGGCCAGGATCAACATGAATAACATTTTAATCTTGGCATCTCATAACAAACCTTTGCAGAAAGCATTCACAAAATTAAAATTAAAACTGAAAAAGCATATCCATATTCAACTCAACAAAGTTTGCAATGGACTACATGCCCATAGATGCTTCAGCACATTCAAAAGACTAATATTGGTACTTAGTACAAAGTTTGTTAAAATCGGGATCCTACGTTGGATCGTTGGAGGTGTTTATAGGATCGGATCGTAGAATCGGATCGAGGATCGTAAGATCCTACCGAAAAAGACAAATTACATAATAACTTAATTTAAATAAATATTTCTTAAAAAGTATACACAAAATGAGCCTATATTCTATTAAAAAGAAGTGAAGATATTGTGAAAAATATAATACTCCATGTAAAATGTACATATAATATTATACAATAGAAAACTCAATGGTAAAAGTTTTGTATTTCATCAAAAAGAAGGTGAAGAAGAAGAATTCTATAACAAAATACTTTACAATCTACAATAATGCATAAAAATGAAGAAAAAACATTTAACAAAGTTGGATATGAAAATAGATTAAGAACTCAAACGAGCATGTTAACCGAATGATAAGGTTTGTCGTTACCTTCCCTGGTGGAGCGGATTCAAGTCACAAAAATAATCTCTCCAAAAATTGAGATAAAGTTGCAATCATCTTACCCTCCTTAGACTCTTCTAAAGCTAAGTTTGTTTTTTCGACTAGATAATTTTCTTAAATTGTCGCAATATTTGAATGTTTGTTTCCTAGTTTGTTTTTCTTAATCTATTTGATTCAATACTACTTATTTTTTCTTATTTATTTTGACCACATAAATTGGTATTTAGACAATAAACATAAAATTTATAATAAAATATGTCATACAATACAAAACAAGGCTTGTAAATTGGATCGGATAGGATAGGATTCGGATTGGGATTCCACAATCCTATAAGATCCCATTACCAAGATCGAAAAATCCTATTACTAAGATCGAAAGATCCTACCTATAAGGAATTTTTTATACGATCTGGATCGATTGTATTCAAATGGATTATAAGATTATAGGATCGTAAGATTCGGATTGGGATTCTGACAACCATGCTTTTTATATTAATGAATATTAATAATTACAAGGGAGTCCTAAGGCATAGAATAATTACAATTGAATGATAACCCAACTAATAATAATAATAACTATTTTTAACAAATTATACAATTTAGTTAGAGAGAGAGACTAGTAGGTGGGATGAGGGAAAAAACAAACTCAATGGGTGCAAATTCTATAAAGAGTGTATTTTATTTAACAAAGCATATATCACAGTATAAAACAATATTTTGTTAAAATCTGAGTGAGGGCAATTGCACCTGTTGCTGCCATGTAAATCGGCCCATTCATCCCAACTCAATAAACTTGACCCGGTCTTTGTTTAGGAATTAGAGGATTGCTTAATAATAATATCCATGCACTGTATTTATATGGTCATCAATCAATTTAGTTTTCCATGGTACAATTTATGATGCAATATTTTGTATGTATTTAATTAGCCTAAAGCAATTTTCGATGCAGATGTTCGTTGACATTACCTCATGATTATGCAACTAATCCCAAAACAGATGACAACTACACCATTTTAGCTAACATTACTTGATTAATTTACTTTTTTCCTGTTTCGACATGGATATTGTATGTGGAGGGAAGGTATTCCTATGCTCCTTGCTTGTTAGCACTGCATCTATTATTTGTGTGATTGTTGGTTTTCTTTGGACCAGATTTATGTTTTCTTTCCTGAGGAGCCGAAGGTTGGTGTCAAAACAATGAAGACTTATACCAATCGCATGAAATCAGATAATGTTTTCCGAGCAATATTGGTTGTTCAACAGAATCTCACACCCTTTGCGAAACAATGCATAAATGAAATAGCAGCAAAATTCCATTTGGAGGTTTTCCAGGTGATTCTTGATGCTTTTCACATTGATCTCTTTTCATTTGAAGATTTTCCCTAATTTAATCTATCAGTCTTGCATTTCTTGAGAAATCAGTAATGTCCATTAATTTTGCTGCATGCCATTATTGTCTATTTGGTTGATATAGGAGGCAGAGTTGTTGGTCAACATTAAAGAACATGTTCTTGTACCTGAGCACCAGCTCCTGACAAAAGAGGAAAAGAAAACTTTGCTGGACAGATACACAGTTAAAGAAACACAGGTCACTTATCTGGAATTTCAATAATGCACTTGCTAGATTAAAAATGATCAATATGATTTAGCTTCACAAACTTTGTATTAGTATGCCATGCCATATGTAACAAGCAATTCAACTTCATAACTGCTGGAGATGTTACTGTTTCCAGAAGTTATGATAATTATTTCCAAATTCAAATTTGAATGTCAAACTTGGTATAGAAAACAAGGAAAATTGGGCTCCAGTTGGCACCTATTTTAGGGGGAGAATGTTACTACTTGCATTGAAGGCAATGAATGTCTGTGATTTAGTAGTATTTATATAAGGGCAGTGATTGAGCTTGGGGAAAATGCTTGCATAGTTTAATTTGTTCGTGCTTATGAAGTTTGGCTTGGGCTTCACTTTTTTCTGTTCTAGAGATGGATTTCCTCACCTTGTTTTAAGTTTGCCAAGCAAAACAGTTGCTAGTGTTACCACAGGGCTTATGTAGAATTTAATGTATAAAGAGAAATAGAGAGAGAATAAATTGTATATATTATTGATTGATTTATATTGATTTCTATTACAATGATTCATGATTCCTATATATAGAAAAGGGTGAGTGTGTAGTAGGTAAGGAGTAGGTGAAGTGGAGGTGGTAGTGGTGTAGTGGGTTAGGTTTAGTGGAGTAGGTGAGGTGGTAGTGGTGTAGTGGGTTAGGTTTAGTGGAGTACCGCAAACTCAAGGAGGATAGAAACTAACCAACTTGAGTTTGAAGAGAAAAACAAAAACGTCTTTCCGAATGAATTGACAAAAAGTGTTGTAGGAGAGAAAGTACCAGAGGCTAATTTGTACATGTCTCATTTTGATGATCTGAACCGTTCATTTTATTGATTCTTACGTATATATCATCCGTAAAAAAATTATGATGATTTAATATTCATAACCTCTTCATTTTATTGAGTTTGTCTTCAAAACAAAAGAAAAATTAACGATCAATAAATTTTTAAAAATAGACTATTCATATACATGCAAGAGTTGACAAAAATGAACTGTTTAGATTATCTAAACAAAACCCATATTGAACCACATGGATCCAAACTACATTCTCCAATATAAATAATGGATTGAAAAGAATCAAGACCCTTTTTTAAAGAGTAATGCTATACAAACAAACAAATCATACAGAAATTTTATACATAATGACGTGGCTCATTGTAGACCTTCACTTCGAAACAAAATACTATTGAAGATAGATTTATTTACAATAATGAAATTGTCATATCATTATTGTCAAATTTTTTATACAGAAAATTGGTGATAAATCCAATTTAGAGAGTGTCTAAGGCATTTAGGGGTTGTTTGGGATGTCCTAAATAAGTGCACTTTTTGACTTTTTGGACAAAAGTTGAGGAAAAAAATATGGTTGTTTGGGTTAACTTTTTGACTTTTTATGTAAAAATGTATATTGTGGGGAAGGTGGTTTGGAAATACTCTTTCGATCCACCGAGGCGCTCAAGATCCTCAGCTAACAACCTGAAAATGAATAAACACTCCAGTCGGGGGTGCCGAAATTAGCACTCCGACGGGCAAGTCTGTCTCTACTCTCTGGATTACTTGTATTTTAAGTTAAGCGTAATGGTTATCACATACCTCTTTCTAGCTGATGTTCTTCTATTTATATCTTTTCTTTCTTGGGCCTCGGGACTGGGCCCACTTTCAATTCACCGTATAACTATTTCCTCAGCTTCTTCTGTTGCAAACCGCTTTTCACTCGGCCCCTTACTCAACCGGCTATTTGGCCGAATAGGGTAGGATTTGTGCAAGACGGGACCAAATGTGATGTATATATTACAACTCTCCAGGTCCAATAATATTCGGCCTCTTTACAACTCCCAGTATTCGGCCCCCACAATTGCCCCCCAAGCACTCCACTAACAACAGTTAGCTGGAGTGTTTGGTTTCAAACTCAAAAAGTCAGAGCCGAAATTTGGCGGCTAACCTCATTCTAACGTGGATGTCAGAGCACACGTCTCTCGGTTATCATTTCAACTTCCCGCCTCTTCGTACGCTTCCATTTATTGTGATTTAAAATCTTGTCGTCTTTT